AGAGAGAGAGAGAGAGAGAGAGAGAGAGAGAGAGAGAGAGAGAGAGAGAGAGAGAGAGAGAGAGAGAGTGTGTGTGTGTGTGTGTGTGTGTGTGTAAAATATGTATACACACACGTGGTTCTGATAGTTAAAATTTTTAGTAATCTGAATAAAATGTACTTCAGGGTATGAATGACACCTTACATTTTCAGGCAAATATGGGCTTAATAACTCAGACACCCATTTTCTAGTGTTATCTAGAATTGAGCTGATTTTTTTAATTAGCGTTAAAATTAGTGTTTGCTTCTGTAATTTGATTTTTCATATTTTGTGGTTTCTTTCAAATTATCAGAAACTTCTACCTTAGCAATGCAGTATTTTGTATTTACCATTTTGTTTACTCTGTATAGATGTATTAAATGACTTTACTTCAGTCTTCTTTAGAAAAGCTTAGCTAGTTTTGAGGATGACAGAGGAAGGAACATGATAACAGAGTATGGTCTCCCTTTATACAGCCCCTCCAAACCCCAGCTATTCTACATTTTTAGCATCCTTAGCATTTACCAAATAACCTCTTGAGCCTAAAGTCGTTAGTAAAGAGTCTCCAAAATTGACTGAAAACAGTCTTGTTCCTTACTTGTCTTTTGGAATATTATAACATTTAAAATGTTTAAAATTAAATATATAACATTTAAAATATTTTGGCTGATGCTTAATAAGTTTCTTAATGGAGACCTGTTAAAAATAAAAATACCTAGTAGACATTTGCTAAAAACCAGTACCAAAGTCTGTCACACTCTGTAATATAGTTACTTGCTTGATGTTTTAATATTCAGCGTTTGCTGTTTGATCAGTATATAATCAATAGTGTAGTTATTTAAATGCGTAACTTTTTCAGTCTAAAGGGCGCTAATGTAGATGTCACTGAACTGTTAAGTGTCTAGCTCCTTGTGTCATTTGATACCTACAATAAGTAGTTGTGTAAGATTAATACAGATGTAAAGTATATAGTTGGAGCAGATTTTTTAAATGTCATGTACTAGTTTTAATGACATTCAAACCTGTCTGGAATTTAGTGATGCTGGATGTTTATGGGATATAAGTAGTCAAGTTGTGTTATAGAACTTATCTCTACTGAAAGTAAACTTCAGTTGTTTGGTTTTTAGACAAAAAATCACAATGAATCTTAAAATTATTATTTAAAACCTGATGTTTAACATTTAAGTAAATGGTAACATGTAAGAAAATAAGTGAAATATGACAGACTTTTTTCCTCCTCAGGTATAGAATGAGCCAAGGAGACTCCAACCCAGCAGCTATTCCACATGCCGCGGAAGATATTCAAGGAGATGACAGGTGGATGTCTCAGGTAAAGAAAGTGCATATGTGTGAAATGAGTCTCTTCAGTATTTGAGACTTTTGCCCTAAGCTGCAAAGAGGAGTTGTTGGGTGTTGTTTTGTTTTTGTTTTTTAAGATTTTACTTATTTTTACATAGAAGAACTGGGGTGTAGGGTGTAGGCAGGAGGTAAAGGTGGTGAGAGGATTTACTAGAGACAGAGTGGGGAGCAGAATAGGCAGATTTACTGAAATACACTGCTGAGGGGAGCAGTAGACAGGAGAGGTCTGCTGTGCTGGGTGGGTCAGTTCCCTGGGCAGGGATTGAACTCAGGCCACAGTGGCTGGCCATAGCTTAATACTGCACCACAAAGAAGACCCTACAATGTTCTCTTATATAAGTGTTTATTTTGAAGTAATTTAAAAAATTAATACAAAAATATAAAAATTTTTGAAAGAACACTATAAACATTGTCTAGACTTGCCAATTATTAACAGTTGTCATATCCGCCTAATTATTCTGTCAGTACCTATTTGTGTATGTATATACCAACATACTGTTTTTTCCTAAGCCATTTGATAGTAAGTTGTAGGCCTCATTTTCCTTTATCCCTAAATATTTTGTGTTATCTAAGAAAGGTGTTTTCTTCATACTGCAGTGTAATTATTAAAATAAAAAATGCAGCATTGATTCTGTAATTCAGAAGACATACTTCAATTTCTCCTGTTCTCCCAAAGATGTTCTTGTATTATTTCTTCTTAGTCTAGAGTCACATGATATTAACACCTTGGAATTGTAGAAGTATTTGTTTTGTAGGCTATCTTTCAATTTAATTTCTTCCTCATAATTAAGATTTGGACTATATGACTTTTCAGGAATATCAGTGCATTCCATAGACAGCTGTGATGTTTCTTGGCCTTGTTGGTGATAGTAGAATTGAACACTTTGTTAAATGGTCTTGGCTTACACCAAGTCTTGTCTATTGTAGGATAGATTCCTGGATTCTTATTTTACTTGTATAATTCATTGTAATTTAGCTGGTAGGAATCCCTTGATTTTTTTTGGGGGGGGGTTTCTTTTAAGTATTTTTATTACTTTCCTTTAATAAACTTTTTATTACTTTCCTCTTAACAAACTGTTATTTTTTGTTTATAACTATATTTAATTTTTGTTTCCAACTATAGTACCTCTTTGAATAACAGGTCTGTGTCATTTTAAGTAATAACAAGTTTTTGTGCTACAGTGTTAATACTGTTCACAATATTTTTTCCTGTTGCCTTTTCATGCTTAAAAGTTAGTCTGTCAGCTAACTTGAATAGTGGTATTTTTTTGATGATTTCATATGTTCTGTTACTAAGTTATTCTTTCTTAGTCTTCCTAGTTTGTGCTTTTAAAAAGATAATATGAAATAGCTATGTATTTTTGATTGATCCTAAAAAATTGCTAATAGAATTTATGTTCTCCTTATATGTTAATTGATCATATTTATTTATTTCTTGCCACCTCATACCCAAACCAATACCCTAAATTGGGTATTTTTGACGTATTTACATATTACATATATTTGTGTGTGTGTGTATATATAATATTTTTCCATGTTTCTAAATTGCATGTATTTTTCTGCAATATATATATTTAAAGTGTAGCTGGAGTTCATTCATTTTCTCTTTAGTATTTCATTGCTCTATATGAAAAAAACAATGGATTTGTCCATTTTTCATTGATGGGCATTGGTTGTTTATAACTAATAAAAAGAATAACTAGAATTAGATACCATTTGTTCCTGGCATAAATTAGCAGATTTTAAATAGTGCTGATTGGGAAAAAAAATAGTGAAACTGAAGAAAAATAATTTTTTTTTTAAACTTGCATAGGATGGAAAGACTAACTCTACTAAGTAATAAGTGCTATTTTTAGATACAGTCTTCATTTTGTTTTAAAATCTGAGGATGGGTAGGACAGTAGTTTGGGAAATGATTGAAATAATAGTGGCTGCAATTAGGTGATTGCTGTAGCTGGTGCTGAATACATGTAGGTTCCTCATGTTATTGTCTTTGCTTCTGTGTATGTTTGATATCTTCCATAATAAAAGATTTAATACTTTTATACTGTTTTATACTTTTAATATCTTTTATTTAATAACATCTTTCAAGGTGATGTTGAAAGACTTGACAATAGATAAACTTAATACAAGTCATACCAAAACGGTAGGCTACCGAAGAAGGCTCAGCAGCAGACTAATGAAAATACTTACAGTAAATATTACAGATGAAGCACTGGTATATTTTATTATATTATTACATAAATATCCTCATGGCACCACTAGATAAGTACCTTAGTAAAAACACTGACAGGAAGTTTCTAATGTTTTTTCCCTTTCAAAAAGTACAGATTAGAACAATGAGAAGAGAAGGGAAGAAGAGAGAAAATTTTTAATATCCAATGCAAGTACAACTACATTAAAACCAGTTGTGATATATAGTCCTTTAGCTAAGAATTTCAAAATACTCAAGATCCATGAAAGTTTGACCTAAGAATTACCAGGGTGTAAAAAAGAGTATGTAAACTTCTTTATAACGGTTTACTGATAAGTCCTTTGATATGAAAAAGTTTCTTTAAATGGGTGTGTTCAATGGTATATTACCTGGCATTAAAAATTATGGTAGTGAAAGTCATTTAGCTCCATAGAAAAATAATTCTCATTGATGTTAATGCAGTTGCCATGCCTGCTGTTTGTTATCTACTGGGTACCTGCCAGTAACTGAACCCCTTTCATAGAACTTTCATCTTCCCAACTCTGAAATGGAGTTGGCAGCAGATGGGAAAAACAAGACTCAGATTCTGTACTTGCTTAAGATCATTGGGTTGAAAACTAGAATTTGAGTGAGGTTTTTCTGTTCCCGGACCTAAAGGAGCCAGAAGAAGATACATACAGTGATTCAGCTATGTCGAGGGGATGAGAGCGAAGTGTAAGAAAAAGGATGAGAAGAAAATACCTATATATGGTAAAAGTTGCTGAGTTAAAATGGTGGAATTAAAGGTGTTTGGTATTGTCCTTTTCTACTTTTCCCAATGTAATGTAACTAAAAAGAAAATGTACAGTAATTAAGCCTTTAAAATGGTAGAGTGTAAATTCCATGACACTCTAAAAGTTGAACTGTTAGTATGAAGAAGTGTTGATAGATGGTGACTTCAGTTCATGCAGTAGAAAGTTGATATGATATGAAAATGCACCTAACTTGTTAACTGGAATTTTATTTTTGTTCATCTTATCTCTTCAGCTTAAAAATACATATTCTTAAATACAGTTAATATAATTAATATATTTCCAAATACATACATGGTCAAATTTGAGAGATAGAAAAAATTCTTTAAAAATCATGTTAATAGGCCCTCCCTGGTGGTGCAGTGGGTTAAAGCACAGCACTGAGAATCTAAACCCGCTTCCACATGAGTTCGATTCCCGCCTGCCCCGGAGGAGACCACATGGTGTGGCAGACCTCTCCTGACCCGCCCGCTGCTCCCCTCAGCAGTGTGCTTCGTTGATCTGCCTGTTCTGTTCCCCACTCTGTCTCTGATGAAGCCTCTCACCGCCCCTGAGCCTCTGGCCTGTACCCCAGTTCTGTATGCACAAATAAATAAATCTTTAAAAAAAAAAAATCATGTTAATATATTTTTCTGTTCTGGTTTCAGTAGACTTCCTGTTTTCTTGAGAATATACTAACATGATCAAAATGATAAGGGGAGTAGAAAATTCTAACATTTAATTACAGTTCAAGAGGAATAAGCTTTAGAAACAAATGGAATGCTTAACAACATAGTATATAACTGGTTGGACAACAGTTTTTGTCTAGACCAAGAAAGCACACAAGGAAAGAATAAACATTTTCTTAATTTCTTTTTTCAAACTAGCACAACAGATTTGTCCTGGACTGTAAAGACAAAGAGCCTGATGTACTGTTTGTGGGGGACTCAATGGTGCAGTTAATGCAGCAATATGAGGTAAAGGTGGAAGGGGTGAGGGTGGGTCTTGGCTACTAATGTGAACCCATATGTTGCTAACAGACTTTCTTTCTAAGCTGAATCTGTACATGGACCCTTGACACTTTAGAAAAGCTCTAGATCCGAGTATTAGAGTTAGACCTACCAAGTAGGGTTCTTTGTACATGATGAGACCAAAAATATATATACTTAGCATTGTTTATAATTAAACTGCCTTTTTTGCCTTCTGCCAAGAAGCTTCACATTATATTTGCCTTTGTCATGATTTTACTCTTATTTGTATTTTACTGTTTTCTTTCTTGTATTTGCTCATTTATATTTGTCTTAGTCACAGGCTTCACCATTATTTTATTTTATGTATTTCTGCACCAAACTGTTCCAAATCAAAAGAAAATACAGTTTTATTTCTTTTAGACTCCAAGCACTTGAACTTCCATTTTGTGTTTCTGTTTTACCTTAGTCTTTTAAGTGACTGAGCAAAATGAAAGAGCTTATTGAATTGGTAACTTTATTATAAATGTTGGAACCTCTTAAGGGATCATCACGTTGAATTGTGATTCAGTTCTTGAGCTAAGACCAATGCTGCATTAAGAACTGAGTTAGTTAATGGCATCTGCAAAACCCTTTAAGCAATGGGTAATTGAGCATCTGCACGGTAATGTTGCAATACAAAACATGGACATGTTATTTCTTAAGCCTTAAAACATGCTCTAGTTTAAAGAATCTTATTTCCTACGTATTTTACCTAGAATAAGTAAAGTTTTTCTCTTTGTAGATTTGGCGAGAGCTTTTTTCTCCACTTCATGCCCTGAATTTTGGAATTGGGGGAGATACAACAAGACATGTTTTGTGGAGACTAAAGAATGGAGAACTGGAGAATATTAAACCTAAGGTAAAATGAGCTTTTATTTTTTTTTTTAAAGACTATCATTAGTCTTATGTGTTTTTCAGATACAAATTACCTGAAACTGACAATAAAAAAAATTGCTTCTTTATAAAGTGTTACTTCATTATTTTAGCTTCATGCCTATTTAAAATAAATGATATTGTCATTATTTAAGAACATTCCACATGCATATTTAATTAAGAGGACCATCTATTGTTAACCCTGGTCATACTTGTTGTTATAGTTACTTTCTTCAGCTGTAGGAGGGGATTCCATGCTGATTAGGTAGGCTGTTCTGTGGACTTAAGACAGTATGAAGGGAACTGCTTAGAGACGGGACTTGAGAACAGAGCCACAGTTCGTTTCAGGAAGTAATTTTGGATCTCTTTAACCATGTAAACAAAGTGGTTTTGTTTCTAAGTCAAGACCTCTTAAGTTCTTTTGAAAAAAAATTGAAGCAGATATGAATAAGTAATTCACCATAAATATGTACCCAGTACTTTGTCACATTATAAGGTCCTAAATTGACAGGTTGCATATAATTTTTCTCAGCCTCAAACACAGGAAAAAAACAAGCCTTTTCCCTTTATCATCTGAGTCATTGATAACAATTACTTTAGTTTAAAGTATTTTATTCTTTGACTTTTTATAAAAAAAGAAAACTTGTGACAGCAGAAGTTACTTGGAAGACGTTACATTTCTAGGTGACAGTCACCTTATAAAAAAATTTTAAGAGAAAAACTTGTTAAAAGTACATTCAACCTCAATCCTAGTCAGTGCATGAGTGCAGTGGTGTGCTTAATGTCCTATACATTTTCTTGGGCATATCTGTTAATTTTTTCAAAAGGTACTTGTACAATCATGGAGTCTTTTTTTTTTTTTTTTTTTTGAGTTGCAAGTAATTTATCCCAGATTTCTTAGATTTTACTTAAAACACTTTTGTGATATGTAGATGTTTACTTTTTTCACTCTTATTTGGAATGTTTCAAGACAGTTTTATACAGTTAAATTTACTCTTGTACAATTTTTCTGGATTTCAAGATACAAGTTTCTAATGATACAATAATAAAGAATTCTCTTATTTCTTCTATTTTGCCCTCAAATATTAATCTGTGTTAGAATTTATGTTGATAGGCCTTCCCTGGTGGTGCAGCGATTTAAGCACTGCACTGCAAGCAAACCATAGCCGCTTCAGTGCAAGTTCGATTCCCCGTCCCGGAGGTGATCCACATGGTGTAGCAGACCTCTCCTGCCTCACCCGCTGCTTCCTTCAGCAGTATACTTCATTGATCTACCTATTCTGCTCCCCACTCTTTTTTTAAAAAGAATTTATGTTGATATATCTGAGGCATGAATCAGTACTTTAAAATGACTGCACAATTGAAGTTATCTAACATCATTTGAGATGTTCATCTTTCTTTCTTTGATTTTTGAATAAGACTTCATCTAAATATTAGACATTCCTTTCTCTCTGGATACTTATCTCTCCTTTTTCCCTCATTTATAGGTTATTGTTGTCTGGGTAGGAACAAACAACCATGAAAATACGGCCGAGGAAGTTGCTGGTGGAATTGAGGCCATTGTACAACTTATCAACACAAGGCAGCCACAGGCCAAAATCATTGTATTGGTATGTAGTCTTTGGGTGCATGGAGACTTTGATATCATTAGGTTATATGAAGACTCTTGTTTAGAAATGTGATTGTTTAAGAATAAAGAGAATTTTTAGGTGGGAGTAGTTTATTATACTTCTGAGAAGCTCTTCTCTGATATATCACATTGACTTACCGATCTCAGCATTTCCCAGACCAACTGTGGGGTCATCTTTTATCTGCTCATCCTTGTTTAGAAGTGGAAATCCTCTTTATTGCTTCAGGTAGCCTTAATTTTTTTTTGAAACTGTCTTGTAATTTTTTTAATGATTTGTGATACTTGTCCTAGGCCTGAGTCTCTTCTTAGCCTTAGGTTTCATATTGCTTAGAGTTCTGTTCTCTTTCATTGTTTAATTGTAAAAAATGGTGTATTTATTAGAATCTCTGATGTCTCTAAAATATCTGAGATTGAGTCAGCAAAAAAATGGTCTTACCCTGTGTTAGTTTTTTTTAAAGATTTATTTATGCATACAAGAACTGGGATACAGGCAGAGGTGGGTGGTGAGAGGATTCACGAGAGAGAGTGGAGAACAGACAGGCAGGTCTACTGAAACACAGTGCTGATGGGAGTATCAGGCTAGACAGGAGAGGTCTGTCACACCATGTGAGTCAACTCCCTGGCTGGGGATCGAACTCTCAGTGCAGTGGCTGCGGATTGCTTCATATTACTATGCTTAACCCAATGCACCACCAGGGAGAGCCCACCTCTTTTTAGTTTTACCCTTAACAGAAAGTGCTTTTTTTTTTTTTTTTAAAGATTTATTTATTTATTTGTGCATACAAAACTGGGGTACAGGCCAGAGGCTCGGGGGCGGTGAGAGGCTTCACCAGAGACAGAGTGGGGAACAGAACAGGCAGATCGATGAAGTACACTGCTGAGGGGAGCAGCCGGTGGGTCAGGAGAGGTCTGCTACACCATGTGGTCACCTCTGGGGCAGGCGGGAATCGAACTCATGCAGAAGCGGCTTTAGATTCTCAGTGCTGTGCTTTAACCCGCTGTGCCACCAGGGAGGGCCAGAAAGTGCTATTCTTTATTGTTACAGTATTAGTATTTATGGTCTCAGAAATTAATAATGAAACCATTGTCGATTTCACTATAAAATTTCAATGTAAAAATTTACCTATCCTTATTCTTTGTCCAACTAAAAGTGTTTCAGTGAAATCTGATATGTATTCAGCTCTTTACTGAGGATTGCGTTAGAAAAGTATTTATGCAACAGACATGAAGATCACCATATAAGCAGGTGCCATTCTAGGTCCTCATCATGTAAAAAGAGGAAGGCATGGCTCACAGTCTAGTGCATTGGTACAGTAATACATTGTGTATGTGTATATTGTATGCTTTTGGGGTTAAGGGGGAGAACAGAGTTCACTTTAGATATGTTGACATCTGAGGTTAGTTTTTAAGAACTAGTTAGTCTCCGAATAAATGAAGAAACATTTTCAAGGAAAGAAGGCATTGCAGAAAAAGAAAAGAAAATGATCAAAGGTTATATGTTTGTGTTTATTGACTAATTGAAGGGGAGAGTTCTAGAAGAAGTTTGAGGTTAGGGTGGTTAAGTGAAAGAGGCTACATACAGACAGTTCATTTAGTAACTAATATGCCATGCTAGGCGGTCAGATTCTATCCTTAAGGTGCTGGGGAGCCAGGCCTCACTTCTTATATTACATGGTATTTAATTTAACTGTTTACTTCTTTATATCCAGCCTTATCTCAAAAAGGATTACATTGTAGTTAGAAGTTCACTGCTGGGGACCTCCCTGGTGGCACAAGGGGTTAAGACAGACACAGCATTATGAGATAGCTATCTGCAACCACTGCAGTCACAAGCTCAGTCTCTGGCCAAGGAGGTGACCCACTATGTCTCTGGTGAATCCTTTCACCCCGGGATCTCTGACCTGTACTTCAGAAGCTCTTGTATGCATGAATAAATTAAAAAAAAAAAAGTTCACCTGATTGTTACTTTATAAATACTCCATAAATGTTCTTTGTTTCAGCCAGATTTTTAAATTTGATACATGGTGGTATAATCTACAGAACTAAAACATGGGAAATAACCTAGTCAACACTATAGGGAATGATTCTATAAATCATTTAATATAATATCACTAATGGCATGAAAGTTTTTGGTTTTTTTAAGATTTTTATTTATTTATGCATACAAGAACTAGGGTACAGGCCAGAAGTACAGGGGCTGTGAGAGAATTTACCAGAGACAGGGTGGAGAACAAAACAGGCAGATCGGCAAAGTACACTGCTGAGCGGAGCAGTGGGCAGTCAGAAGAGGTCTGCCATGCCATGTGGATCACCTCCAGGGCCGGGGATTGAACTCGCACTGAAGCAACCACAGCCAGCTTCACAGTGCTGGGCTCCAACCTGCTCTGCCCCAGGGAGGGCCCTGACATGACAGTTTTAAAGATTGTGTAAAAAATAGGATTTATGAAATATTTAAAAGAGCCAGTATGTGTATTCAGGATTTCTTCAACATATATATTCAGTTGAGAAGGAAACAAAATTAAAATTGCTGTTAAATGATGAAGCCACCAGGACCATGTTTTTCTTTTTGTTCCCTTTAACATCAAAATATTTTTGCAGTACTGTTATGGGAAAAATCAGATGTCATACCATTGATACTCCTGCTGGGAAAATATTGTTAGGTTATGTAAACTACTTCATCCTTGCTTGAAAATATCCACAGGTATGGTGCCCTTTTTGAGACATCACATTCTTCATGGCTTTACTGCTGTGGTGATCTTCAACAGTCAGAACAATATTTATGTTAATTGTTCATTGGCCCTCCTGGCTGCTCATTTTATTTTCACCAGATTTGGATACGTCACCATTAAGGGTTGGTCTTTGTTAACTTTCAGGTGTACTTTGAAAATGTGGACTTACACACTCTTAACAGTCATATAAATTAGGGTTTAGGATTGACACATCTTTGAAATTTTTGAGATGCTTGGCCTCAAAGATTAGGAGGAGTTGGACTGTGGTAAGAGACGTAATTCTCGATAGCTCTTCTTTAGAACTATAATCACATAAAATTACCTTATTGGTAATCAAGGGTGCTATATTTTGCTGGAAAAAGCAAAAGCAAACATGAACAAGTACTTAGTCTGGGTGTATATTTTCTTCCTTTTATAGAATGCGTGCAAAACAGTTATTTTTGTTAGGAGCGCTTAGCATATTCTTTCAGAGAAGTGAGTGGCAGAAATTTTGCATAAGTAAGAGTAATTTAATGTATGATATCATAAACCAACTAGGAGAGGTCTGACAGTTCTATAAGAGTTTGTAAAAGCCATTTCTAATTTCAAATGATACATGGCTCTTGCAGGCTTTTGTTTACTATTATAAAGAGACAAAGATCTGACATAATTGCTTGTTTTACCAAAAAGTTAAAAACTAGTTTAGCATCCATCTCTGTTTTACCACATGTGACTAATTCATCAAGACAGTATCTGTTGCAACTCCTCATTGCTCATGTGTAGTAGTGTAGGTTCTATATGTTATAAGCAGATTATTCTGGTGATTGTGTGGAGGAAGAATTGAAGGCACTAGGGGAAACCAGCCAGGTGAGTTTGCCTTAATTGAGATGAACAGTGGTAAGTTCCTAGCCATCTCAGTATATAGAACCAAAATGTGTTAGAAAAGCATGTAGGATGCAAAAACTGTGAGTAATTTAATGATAAATCGAAATACAGGTTGCGAGGTGCAGGGGTGTTGGAATGGCCAGGCATCCCAAAGAATGTAGAGGAACATAGTTTGAGGGCAACTACCTTAAGTTGGGAGTGCTTCGGGAGCGTTCAGTTTTGTTCTGTACTTGGAGGTTTAATATGCAGTTTTGAGACTTTAGGAGATCTAGGCTAAAATGTTTAGAATTGGGAACATAAAGACAAAAACTCTGAAGAATACCAACAATTAAGGAATAGGAGGAAGAACTTATGATGGAATTGAGAAGCAATTCTCAGACTTTCCTTTAAAACTATTCTCATGTAAAAAAAAAAAAAGACCTATTCTCATGTTCAGAAAGGTCTTAAAAGCACCAAATGGAGCAATTGTTACAGCAATATCTGAAATCACAAATAAATAAGTAGACAGAAATCAGTGTTATTTTCCTTATAGTCTTCTCTACTCCACCCCAGGGTTTGTTACCTCGAGGTGAGAAGCCCAACCCCTTAAGGCAGAAGAATGCCAAGGTGAACCAACTCCTGAAGGTTTCCCTGCCGAAGCTTGCCAATGTTCAGCTCCTGGATACAGATGGGGGCTTTGTGCACTCGGACGGTGCCATCTCCTGCCACGACATGTTTGATTTTCTGCATCTCACAGGAGGGGGCTATGCAAAGATCTGCAAACCGCTCCATGAACTGATCATGCAGTTGTTGGAGGAAACACCTGAAGAAAAACAAACCACCATTGCCTGACTGGCTCCATCAGTGTTAATAGCGTCCCAGCTTCCTCAGATCAGTTGTATCACTGGCACTACAGAATCCTTCTCTTAAGGCACTTTGCATTGTAGAATGTTCCTGGATGTTCATATCTAGTGTTTGAAGGGGAGGAGGGATTTAAACTGTTCCTGTACATAGAAGGTTTGTTTGATAAGGGAGAAAAATTAGCCAAGGAAGATTCTCATTTAAATTGATTTCAAACCAGAAGGGGACTTTTTAGTTATATGTGTTGACACATTCATTGAATTATCATTTTTTCCTAGGACAACATCAGGCCTAAGTACTGAACAAAATGAAGATTCTTTTTTTTTGGCCCTTTTTTTTCTGTGGATTATGTCATATAATCAGAATCACATCTACTTGGCTTTAAAATACATTTTTCCAGTTTGAAGGTTCATAATTTAGCCTTTTTTTATTTTTCTTTACTCATATATTTGAATTTTTTTCTTAACATACACCATTGAATTGAATATGCATTGTCATTGAAATATGGGAGATGGTATAGTTTCAAGTGAATTTATTCCACTCTCTTAATCTTGACCATGTTTATCAGAGAAAACTAGGTTTTGTCTCATGGTGGGGGGACTCTGGAGGTTTGTTTTTATGCTGCTGAGTATCATGTCTATAATAGACCCTTGCATGCAGCCTTTCCTCCCTGTTACCCTCTCAAACCTCCTTTTCCTCCTTGTTTACTTTTAGGCCTTGTTGACATTACTAGCTTTTAAAACACATTTTTGACCTTAGGAGGCTCTGTTGGAAGCATAAGTCCCCAGCCAATTACTCTTACAGTAGTACTGATGTGTGATTCCTCCTTGTGTGATTTTCCGTAATATAGAGTCTATAATGCTATCCATACCCAGAATTTCAGTTTGTTTTGTTTGTTTCTCCCTTAAAAATCTGTTATAGTTTTTGGGGGGGGGCATGGAACTCTCTCATTCCATAGCCCTGACATTTCATGTTTCATAGTATCTTAGGGTGTATATATATATATATTTTTTTTTTTGGATATTGGCTTAGTGTTTAAATTATATCTGTTCAGAAGAATTTGGCCATTTTTCATGGGGAAACAAGTGTGAAGCTGCTCTTCAGAATAGACATGCTGTCTTTATCTCACCATTTTTGTAAAAAAGAACTAGGTTTGTTTAACTTTGAGGGTTTCTCTATAATGTATCTTCATCTGAGAATTTCTTTCACGAGAGCGCTTTATAATATTAATGGTTGCCTGAGCTACAAAAACTACCATTTAAAAAATAACGGGACAGTAGGTGGCTTGTTGTTTAGTATACCTATGAAATACGTGCAAACTGGATCTACAAACACATATTTTAAACTGGACCAGGTGGGTATTGAAGTAACCCACCAAAATATGCTGTGTTGTGATTCTGCGTACTATTCAAGTTCAGAGCTTAAGACATACATTTTACGTTCTGCTTGCAAGGTGAACAGCAGTGCTTTGTGTGTTAGAGGAGGCTTGCTGACTTGTGCTAAGAGCCAACTTCTGATTGAGAAGGCTAAAATTTGGGCTGATTTTTTTTTCTTGTCAAGCCTCTTTCTAGGAAGTTTTGGGGTTTGTCTTTTTTTGTTTGTTTTTTAAATACATTTGTGAATGTATCATGTCTTCATTAACAACAGAAAGTGCACATGGTGTTTACTAAACTTGTTTACTGTATTAAAATTTTTATTTTCCTAGCCCAGGTTCTTAAATTTTTCAAGACAGATTTTTTTCTTTAGTTGAGGTCTTGGAAGGAGAATTAATTAAGCCAGAGTTTTGTGTGTAAAAAGACAGTTTCCTGTCCAGATGTTATCCTGTTCACCGGGGGTGGGAGTATGTTCCAGTCACACCCCCATTAGATTACTCCTGAGCATGCGCTTTTAACTACTTTGACTGAGGATCAGATACCTTTGTGAGCTGGCTTTCAGCTCCTTTGCTTATGTGTATGAGCCTCAGATGTTACTACATTTTATATCTACCAGAGCTATTCAAGCAATAGTATTGGAACCACTAGCCTTTTAAATAAAGTCTGCCCTACTATTAATGTGCAGGTATTGAGTCCACTTTCATTTCTTTCCAGCTGCTTTGCACTGCTCTAAGCTAAAGGTGTTTATCTGTTTTGAGATTCCAGTTTGCTACAGTGACAGAATTTGCTTAATACTTGGATTTCTCTTTATACTGTATATATATATATATATATATATA